GAGGGAGGGAGGAAGGAAGGAAGGAAGAAAGGAAGAAAGGAAGAAAGAAAAGAAATGGAGGGTTCTGGAATGGCCAGGTTTAAATCCCATCAAGATGCTGTGGGGTGATTTAAAACAAGAAACCCCTTCAAATATTGCACAGCTGAAAAAATTCTGCATGGGAGTGGGAAAAAAATCCTCTCAGTCAGTGTCAGAGACTGGTAGACAGTTATAAGGAATGCGTACTTGAGATTGTTTCTGCCCTGATACCAGGAATTAGAGCCAAAGGCATGTTTACATTTTCCACAGAAGGAAATGGCATATCTGTTCATTTAGGGGGGAATAAATGATTGCAGTGTCAATTTTTCATAGTCTTTTTGTTCAGTTGCATCACCTTTATATACTGTTTGAAGATAAAATATTGATATGTCCAAAAGAAAATAAATTACTTTTTACTTTGCTTTTTCACCTGATTGTTATATTAGCAAACCTGGAACCACAGTTAACAAAAACATAAACTAGAAGCTCCAAATAAAATGACCTGTCTTAAAATGAATCAGCAATCATCACTACAGGCAACATTGTACGAACATGTGGCTTTTATTCTCCTAAAAGCACAATAACTGGATTTGGGTGATAGCTGCCTAAGTAGAGCGAAGAAGCCTGAATGTTGTCTCCAAAATGCTTTTTTAATGTATTCATTATTGATCTCTAACTTGTTTTCCATTTAATGATTTATGGAAGCACTTAACTCCCATTCTGTTCCAAATTCTACAGGGTTTATAGCAGCAGACATTAAAGGCACAGGTTCCTGGACTCAGCTCTACCTGATTACTGATTATTATGAAAATGGGTCATTGTATGATTTCCTGAAGTATACCACTCTGGACAACAGAGCTTTGTTGAAGCTGGCTTACTCTGCTGCGTGTGGTCTCTGTCATCTGCACACAGAAATCTACGGGACCCAGGGCAAGCCTGCTATTGCCCACAGAGACCTGAAGAGCAAAAATATTTTGATCAAGAGAAATGGGACATGCTGCATCGCAGATTTGGGCCTTGCTGTCAAATTTAACAGGTAGACAATCAAGTCCTATTTTAGCATAGAAAGTCCAGTATTATAGGTTGGAAAGAAGCTTGGAGATCATCTGGCCCAATTCCTTGACCAGTGCAGGAATCCGCTGCAGTAGAGACTGAGTCCTAATTCATAGCATGGGTGTTTTTCCATAGTTCTAAATAGTATAGTTCCTTCACATGGATAGAAGAATAGAATCCTAGCGTATAAAAATAATGAAAGAGTTCAATGGGTTTTTTTATAAAATGAACATGAAAAGAATAATTGAGACAGAACATTAATGTCAAAACACACCTAGACTGAAGATCTAAAAATGCTGCATACTTTTTAGAAAATCCCTGATTTCAAATAATAAGACATATTTTAATGTTGATTCTGGTTTTCCTTGGCAGTTTCAAATATTTCCATTACAATAAAGATATTCTTTCAAAGCTGAATATTCAGGGTAATATCATTTGTATTAATGCTCAGTATGTAAACATAGTAGTAGTATAATTTCAGTATTAGAAGCAGGCGGTTTAAAGTGTTCTTTAGTTGTAAATTAGTTTAATCTTAGTGTTTGATTCACACGAAAAGGGAATTCACATGAAAAGCGAATAACCGTAATTTTCCATATCATAATATCGTAATCGCTTCATCCTCTGTCCCATTTTTACGTTGTTTCAACAGTATATCTTTTGCCTTCATTTAGTGATACAAATGAAGTTGATGTTCCTTTAAATACGAGAGTGGGAACAAAACGTTACATGGCGCCCGAAGTCCTGGATGAAAGTTTGAATAAAAATCATTTCCAGCCATACATCATGGCTGATATCTACAGCTTTGGCTTGATAATTTGGGAAATGGCTCGGCGTTGCATCACAGGAGGTAAAGCACAATCTGGTCTCTGTATACGATCCTGTGCGCGTGGCGCCTTCCAAAAGTGTTCCGCTTTGTCTAAATCCTTCATGTGTGGTTCCAGAACTGCACACAGTACTAAAAGTGGCATCTGAACAACCCAGAATAATATGGAATTTCTCGTTCTTGATGCCCTTTTGTATATTGCTTCTCTGTTTTGACCGTAGCTGTGAGGCAATTGTATGTATATTTTGCATGAAAAATGGGATGTAAATATAATGGAACACAGTGGGCAGCCTAGTGCTGTCCAAATGCTTTGAATTATAATTCGCACAGTCCCTTGATGTTCATTGGGACTGCTTGGATTTGCTCCAGAAATATAGAAAGCCAAAAATTGCCGCCTCTTTTGCCACAGTATTCTCTGAAATGGGAAAATTTGAGCCATGTGAGCTCAGCTGTGACTTGAACAAGAGACAAGGTTTTTTTTCTACTATAGAGTGTAACTCATTCCAATATTTATAGTAGGCATACATTTCTGTCACCTTCTTGCAGGCATTGTTGAAGAATACCAGCTACCCTATTACGATATGGTACCAACTGACCCTTCCTATGAAGATATGAGAGAGGTCGTTTGTGTTAAGCATCTGCGCCCGGTGGTGTCCAACAGATGGAATAGCGATGAGGTAAGCACAATACAGAAAATGAAATCTGGGCGACTGATTATTTCTTTCACTTACAAGAAGGATTCTTGCTGGCTTCCTGATTGAGATCTTTTCATCCATCGTGGCTATAAGTTTAGAGTGTGCACGAAATGTTTTCTTTCAAGTTTAGAAACAAAACAATCCTATCCACACTGTCAGAGAACTAAATTGCGTTGTGCATTGTGAGAAATTGTTCTGCTGAAAAGTTAATGCAGCATCAAAGAGCTTTGAATGTAACAATATTCAAAAGACACATTTAGCTAAAGTTAATATTTTTAACAAACTTTTTTAATATTTTAACTAATTTAGTTAAAGTTTGTTAATATTTTTGCTAATACATTATCCATACTTGCAAACACTGTTTTGGCTCAAAATACTAAGTGTAGATGTTCAAAATGTTTTTATTTCTCAAAATCTGTCTGTACATGTGGGCTTCTCTGTATACATATGTGCCCCCAATTCCTAGAGCCTCTTTTAAAAAGATACATTCTTTAATTTGTTTTGATGTACTGTTCCTCACTGTGTTGTTATTGCCTCTTTTTTTATTTTTTATTTTTGTTGGTCACACAGTCAGCCAGATGTTTAGACTGGATTTGGCATTTTTATCCACCTATCA